TTCATATCAGGAGCTGAATGTTACAAACTGACTACTGTGATAGGTTAAATCAACAGTAATCACTCACATCTTGCCCATGGGGTCTTATAAAGGTAGTGTTACCTGTTACTTAGACATAAATTTAAATTAATGTATACCTGGCTAACATTGATGGGTTTTACATGACAAGCTAGGGATATTGGAGGAGAAAGCAAGCAAATGATAACGTAATCAAGTCTCTTTACGATCCTTAAGTTCTTCAGATGTTATATGATTTTTTTAAAACTTCTAAATTGACAAGCACAATGACAGTATGTGAAAGCTGATAAATTTTTGAGTAAAGGACTCCATTTCAACTAAAAAGAGTACTTTAGAACACTCATACCCTGTTAAAGATGTACTAAATATACCACACGAACTCATCAGAAGCCAATCTCCCTCCCCAGCTAGAACAACATGGGTGCTAAATGTTTGCATACCTCTGTAGTCTGTTGGCCAGGAATGTTGTGGCTTGGCTGGAGAGCTGTTTGAACCCTGAGGATCACAGGTTGTTTCTTGGGTATTCCTTGATTGAACAGTATAGAAAACTAACCTACATGACAGGGTACTTAATATATGATATATGCAAGCAGAAGCTTGTAGCTATTTTCCAGCTTTTTGTTTTAGCTGGTTACAAGAATTAGAGCAGGTGTTGTTTCTTGCAAAAATTCTGAAAAATGTTTCTTGACAGTTAGCACCTTTTATGTTTTTGGCCCCAAGCATTGAATATTAGATTTGACGCATGTACTAAAATTCCCGACCCTTTGGTGCAATTTGCAAAATGGGACCTTGGTTTCCTTCCCAATTTTAAACAAGTTAAATACACAGGGAAATAATGTGAGAAACATAAAACACTTAAAAAAGCTAGAAAATTTTAGCTGGCTTCAACAAGTAAAATTGTATCCTCTATTTTAGGGTAAATTGAATAGCACTTATCTAATACTATATAGTTGTGTGTGTTTAAGTTGTTACCCTTGTATATATAGTAGTATATTGTAGACTTTAAAACATACCAGCATACACTTAGTAGTAACTGGTGCATTCGCTACAATGTAAAACCCACTGATTGAAATCAACGGACAGTGACGTTGAGCTTTGTGGTGGTGTTTCAGAACCCCTGAACCCATAAGAACAGAGTATTCTCAGGGAATTTGTATGTGAAAGAAAAGATGTATTAGATGGTCTGTGTTGCCTCCATTGTGTGGTGTACTAGTGAATCTCTTGCTTTCAAAAAGAAGTGAACAGCTCATGTGATGAGATGGTCTATACATTGTATGTTCAATCTTGGATTAAACATCAGTGGAAGCATACTTAAATATTTTACATTCTGCAAACTCTGCGAAACTGGTGACATTTTGATTTTTCAACATAAATACCTTTAACACCTGCTGCAAGTCAGTGATGAAACTGTTTCCTTAATCTTTCACCTTTGATTAACAAAACGTAGCTTGTTCCAATGATTAATTTACAAATTGTACAGGTTTTCAAAGTTTGGTATTGCTCTCAACATGTGACATGGCATTTACTAAGATGTTTTAATGATGAGTTAGTTTTTCTAAAAGAGGACAAGGAGAAATTTGACTCATAGACAAGATAAAAAATAATTCATGGTAATGTCATATCAGAAGAAGGTCAGACAAAGGACTCCATTGGGCACATTTATACTTAGAAGAAGATGAAAAGAAATTTATTTAAAACCTCACACCCCTTCCTTTCTATATTTAATGTTAAAACCCTGAGTTGTTTGTGTTGAACAGTAACATGTAAGTTGAGGCAGCAGATGCTGTGTGACTGTTGCCAATGTTTAGTTTATATATACATAAGAGATCTGGCTAAGATCAGCTTGGAGAGATTGGGTAACTGTCTGTCTCTTCAAGTAATATAAACCTGCTGGGCAGACATGCAATAGTTAATAGAGTGGATATCCTCTTACACAGGTAGCTGCTTTGCTGATTTTATCTTCTTTTTGTGGGATTTTCTTAATATAATTGTTCCCAACATATCTGGGTTTCAAACATTTAAAATTGATGAAAATAAAACTTGCCAAATTTAAAAAATAAAGGAATGTGGAAATTATTGAAGGAAAATTGAGGTTAGCATATGTGGAATGAGCAGTATTGAGTCAGTAAGCTGAGTGTGAACAAAAATCTGGAGAGACAACATTTCAAATAGTGCTGTAAAAAGAGCAAAAACAGAGTTCAAAGCATCATGATATTTGAACACAATTCCAAAGCCTCCAGGCAGAAAATTGAATCTAACTCAAGTGTACAGTGTGTAACAGAGCTGAACAGGAGAGAGAGAGAGAGAGAGAGAGAGAGAGAGAATGAGAGGGGGGGGGGGAGGACTGAGGGAGGTTAGAAAGAGGAAAGGGGGGGGGGGGGCTTAGGAGGATGGGTCCACTGATACCCCTCTATGTCACTACCATATTACCTAACATGTACCCTGAACATCACAGAGTGGTTTTGATCTCAAACCTCAATCTCAAGTATTTGTCTGATCTGCAGGGGGATGGACTTGATATGAAGTGCCAGGTGAGAACTCTTACCCAGACAATTACTGTATAGGCTCCCATACTGAATGTCTTGTGATTTTGGAGTCAACCATTCTTGTACCCTGTTCAGATGTTTTCAGGAGAATCAACTCTTGTGAGTTGTCTATACCCTGATTGCTTAAAAAATAATTTTTTGTATTGAATCAGTTGTCAGAGTGATAACTATATGTCTGTGTACAGCAGGTAAAGCCTGGCTATTAGTTTCCTTGAAATGAGAGTGTGGATTTAGTAGAGAAATCTTTGGCCGCATTCACATCGGAGTTGAGCCATGGCTCTACAAAGCCACGACCTAAATATGGCGGGCGTACATGAAAGGAAAACCGCCTAATCTTTTAATAGCATCCCCACCTCTCACACGCCTCCCCATGCTTCATCCCTGCAGGGGTACAGTCATTAAATCTCGGCTCCATTGGGACGACACATGGGGAGGCGTGTGAGAGGCGGAGAGACTATTAAAAGATTAGGCGGTTTTCCGTTAGTGTACGTCCGCCATATTTAGGTCGTGGCTTTGTAGAGCCATGGCTCAACTCACTATGAATGCGGCCTTTGTGAGGTGCAGGAATCCTATACTGACTGACCTCTCTATACCCAGGATGCTGGGGACAAAGAAAAACTTATACCATTGTATTCTGCAACTGAACTATTCAGTTGAAGTTTTTTTGTTTAATTTTTTTTTTTTACCTCAAATGACAGGTCATGTGGCACAAGTGCCTGTTGTGCTTGTCAAAAAGACAAAGGAAAATTTAAGTGATGATTTTATACTGTATACTATTTCCATATACTGCTTTTTTACATCACATTCTCAAGAAATCTTAATAATGGCAATGTGATCAGATTGTTGATGCTTGAAGGAAAACCTTTTGTTCTTTTAAGCGAAATTTATTTAGTAAACCATTTGGTAATATCTTAAATTTTGAGAAAATGGTTTTTCAAGGAAAACAGTCCAGAGGTATCATAATAAGAAAATTAATTTATGTGTAAGACATCCTGCTACGAGATTCCTCCCCACACTGTGGTCACACCTGTCTCCAAAGGCCAGGACGAGTCCCCAGCTCTAATTAGTTGGTATAACCAGCAGGGATTATATGTCACACACTGCTGGCCCTGTCTCGGTGTTGTGGTAGCCACCATTGTTGTACTTGTGTCCAACAGAGAGCGGTGGCACAACAATATTATGGACTTTCCCCATAACGCTGTCATATTTTATTACTACGCTTCTCCCCGACTGAGGGTCCTTGTACTGGAAGACTTGTTTAATTTTATTGAAATCAGCTGACTTAGTCTGTCCTGTTGTGATGATATTTCAAAATCTTTGTTCCCATTGTCATGGCGGATGGCATTGTCTCATTTGTTTCCATGCTAAAATGATTCTGTGGTCGTGTTGCTTTACAAAAAAAGTACAAAATTTCCTCAGAGGGAAAATGGCCAATTTAGTCAGCTAAGTGCACAGATGGTTAGATCTAAGCTTGTGTTTGTAGAAAACCTAGGGCTATAGTGTAAGGCCCTTGATATTTAGGTGGCTACGGATCTTGATATCTCCGGCTTTTCTTTAGATCTCTTAAGCACGTTGAGTGGCTTGTCTCCGTCTTTGTCCCATAAGACCTCAGGGTTCCCACTAAGAAGGAACAATGTCAACAAATATAGATACATTGTCAATATATGTAGATACAATGTCAATAAATGTATATACATTGTATCTAAGTACCACAGAGACCACACACTTGTGGCTGTGGTCAGGATTTGTAAGAAAGAGTGTGTGAACCAGTCTGGGATTTTCCACCTGAACAAGGCTCTGTATTTACATAACAAACTAGTGTCTTGTATGTAAATTATCACCTTATTAAAATATCTCAAGTTCTCCCTGTCAGCTCAGGTGTCCTGTGGACTGGGGACACCCAGGGAGCAGGCATTGTTATCACATGAGTAGAGGGAGAGGTAATTAAGCTACTTAAGAGGACATTGAAGTGAGTGTTGTAAGCAGTGGGAAGGGTGGTGGTCCCCATATTGTCAATATTGTGTTGAAGGGTCTGGATAGGCGAAGTAATATCCAGAAACTAGTATGTATATGTTATGAGTACTTATTATTTTATTTATGACTGTGCTTGGTGTTGATTTGTTGTGTTATGGTTTGTGTGATTCTAGTTATATTTAATCTTACTTCCTGTAACTAATCACAATCACTGCATTGATATTAAAGTTTGCCTGCTTTACTCTGACATACTGAACAGTATAACACATGGTTGTCTCTACTGGGACACCAATGCTACTTTAATATTGCATTTTCTATGAATAAAAGGCAAATTTGGGACAACAATATTCAAGCAGCACTTTTCTTCCTTTATTTTATTCTACATCATTCAGATGTTATTTATTCATATTCAAATTAATAAAAGATATGAAAACTCAATGTAATTGTCTCTTCTTCTTCCAGTGGACACGACCAAGTCAGACATCCCCATAGAGGTGGTTGGGATCATAGCAGGAGTATGTGGAGGCGTCCTGTTAATTTTGGTCATCATTCTGATCGTGTGTTGCTGCAGAAAGAAGAAGGCAGGAGGTGAGTAGCTTCATGTGAAAAAGAATTATATATGCGTGTGTGTGTGTGTGTGTGTGTGTGTGTGTGTGTGTGTGTTTGCGTGTAAAAATATTTTCTAGCTTGAAACAGGGGTAGAACATGAATCTCATCTTACTGATGAAACGACTGCACTTCCAGTCCAACGTCTGAAATGTCATCCTGTGAAACAATGTGGCTATTTATTAGACATCTCTCTACATACAAGTACCATGTGAAACACAAGGCAGATGAAAGTCTGTAGTCTGGGATTAAATAATTGATCTGCATGTACCAGTGCTGTAGTGCATGTATTGTTTTAGAATTTGGCTTTGCACAGGACTATCTTTGAAAAACATGCATCTTAAAACATACACTAAATACTTTAGCTATCAGTTACACATTTATAAACCTTGAACACACACACTTTCTAAACAGTATACCACAGTTTATCTTTCTCAACCAGACAACAAACTCAAGAAACACAAGCAATCAGCAGTGTAGTGAACATGTTACACTGTTGCTGAGCAACTGCACATCACCACGACAACAGGAAGAGGTTCTCACAATCTACCTAGAGTAGGCTTAATTTGATATTAGTGATAGAAACCCTCAAGGCCTCTCAACAATATACAGGAGTGTGTCTCTTTGCTATTAGGGGCATCGCATGTTACTGAAGACGTATATTCGTGTTCATTTCCGCACATGATATTTCTTTCCTCTTAGACAAAATTACCTAGGGATTTTTATGGCAGGTGTATTGATTAAATGTTTATTCTATCTGAATTTTCATTATGAGGGATAAGAGAAGAATTGCTTGCCTGTATCATTTTATAATGCAATGTTGAGAAAAAATATTAACTGATGAATTATGGTTGAAAGTTGTTTCTGTTTCTACCATTTGATCTTGTAGTTGGACAGCAATTTGAGTTATGAATTGACTCATTGCATTTCCATGAATATCAATAATTATCAGGTAACAGTCAATCTTTATATCCAAGTATTTTTACACAGCATAACACTCTAATGTTTTGTTCACAGTTTATTGAGTCATTTGATCTTGATTAGAATATAACACAGTGTACATATTGTAAAGAAAAGTGACATTCAGAAAGTATGCTCAACATCACCACAGAGTCAACAGTCAGGCTGGATTAAATACAAAACCAAACATTGATCAAATCATCTCATTAATTGTAAGGCGAAACCCTTTTAATCTCATGGAATAGTTCATGGTGAATAAAAAAGGACAGCCAATCACTGTACAATGTCTGATTCACAGCTATCCTAACTGAAGCAAGATGTGAACAAGCTACACATTTCAGTTTGTAAATAGTCACAGGCTCAACGTACAAGTAAAATTTATTTTCAACATAGAAAAACCCCTATTTGAGACATTCCAGCCAAAACAATTTAGCTTATCTCAAAATATTTAGGCCTATTTTAAAAAAGAGTTATTTTCCCACTCCCATAGTTATTTGATTTTTGTGCCAAATGAAACCAGACAATTTTGGCTGCAACAATCATTTCACACATCGTACCTGTCACTTGAAATAAGTAGAAGTATTCATCATTATATGTACAGGTGCTGTTTTAATCAAAATGTTAATGGCAAGTGATTGATCAGAAGCCGACTGCTATTTCACACAAGGTTGCTGGAGTGATACACTTGTAATCAGACATAAACTTTATCCACAGAACATGGAATTCCACGTTTTTTAACTCAATTCTAAGGTGCCCCCCCCCCTCCTCCTCCAGCAGGTTAGGTGTTGATAAATGTTCAGAGTTTTTGTTTTTTTTTAAACCTGGGCTCATGTCTGTGTAATTGTACAATATGTGTACTTTGTACTATGAGCTTTTTCCAGTCTAAATAACACAAAGCAGTTTATCTGAGAATGAAATATAGGACACATATTTGAATTTGAAGAAAAAATTCGCCTGTATAGATACACAAAAACACAGCAGCGTGTAGTGTGTCATATTAAAACAAAATCCACATGATCTACAATAATGTCTTGAGAAGGTTGTAACCCATGTGATTATGCTCTGATGATTTTTCCCTCAAATTATCTCAAGTTATCTGTGCACTTAGATAAATTTTAAGGCATTTCTTTAGGTCACAGATCTTTCATGCCTATGCCATTTAAAAAATTGACAAGATGAAACTACCTTTCCTTCATAGCTATTATATTATCTGTCTCCAAAAGGAAGGTTAGGGATGATGTAGAAAAGATAGTGTACCGCCAAGGGCAACATGTTTTCTGATATAATTACACAGAGAGATGGTGGTGTGCAGCCACTTTGACTGAGTTTTATTTTCATGCCAACACTGAACTCTAAAAATTAGATGCAACTATCTGTCACACCCGAAGGGCAAGAAAAAACTTCAAAAGATCCTTTCCATACATTCACCCTGAATTAGCTCGCGCACCAGTAATTTTAGTGCACATGTTGTATTAAAACAAGGTTCGTTTTCTGTGTCTGTACCTGAATTAGATCTTTCCCCTATAATTATGATAAAACCTGTTTTGGATATAAGCTCAGGTGAAAAAGTAAAGGAAATACCAGCACAATCATGTAGAAACACTTTCCAATTAACTTATGTTTACTCTTCAACAAACAAAGGTAATGGCTGTCGTGATGTAGAGACACCTGGATAAACACCTGTGAAAGTTAATGTGGTGGGGGTTCAACAATGGAATACAATAGAAAGGTGTGACAAGATTGAACCCTGATTCCCTCAACACATACCAAGTCATTTCCAAAATATGTCATTATAATATGTTAATTACCGTGGCACAGATTCAGTTATTTAAACAAAATAAATGGCTTAAAAGCATTTTGTTGAACACAAAATCAAGACAAACTTGTTGAAAACCATGGGACAGGAAGTGCTAGTAGTAGAGGTCACTGAAACCAGAATGGCATTATTTAATGACTTACAGAAATAATAAAAATATAAAAAGAATATGAATGAAGCAGGCGTCTTGGTTGACAAACTGTGATTAGTCACACTGATATCACTGGCAATATGTCATGTATAAATACCGATTGTGACAACAATGGAGGAAAAATGAGTGTATCATGTATGTTGTTAGTCATAGCCTTTTGTTCAGTGTTACCACTGTAATCTGTGATGTGTGAAATTATTATTTATTATAATAGCCATATCATTCTCTGAGGAAATGATTGTGGTTAGACAGTGAAATATGGGGATGATTGGGATTTGAGTTAGATTGTGATAATGGCAGTGAATTTTGTAAAAAGAATAAAAAAAGTAGTTTTTAAAGAAAAGAGGTGCAAATATTTTTAACAAATGATGATAAAGTGACCTATTTGAATTATTATGACCTTGAAAATTGTGATTTAATGAGTTTTATTATTATTTTACAGAAAAGGGACCTTTGGAGAATGAAAAGTAAGTACTATTCCCTCATGACGATATCTAACATAAAAAGTCTAATATAAGAGAAGACAACATCAATGATTTAAATTGAGTATGCACAATTCCATGTACAACTTTGAATTCTGAAATGAATATTTAATAGTAAGTTACTATTGTTTCAAACTTTTACTTTAACATTACATGATTTAAATGCATGAAATCTATTAAATTGACATCAAATACACCATTGAATTAACATTCCTGTTCTGAATAAGTATATTTACCTAATTTCTTTTTATTCACAGCCGTGGACCTAGGCCTCAGTTTGATCACCATCCGCCATCTTATGTCAGTGGTGGAGGCTTTGATAACCCTGCTGTTGACCGTTCTCTGGACGTGGTGGACTTTGATGACCCAGCTTCAACTGGTGTCTTTGCCACTCATACCTCTGGGATGAATGGAAGTAAGTGGAGCAGGATTGTGTTTGTTGAGATTGTGTCTGGTTGAGACATGTCTTAGTGCAATATGTACTGGCACTGACTAATAATTTGTATTGGTTAGGGCTAGATGACTTTCTCTTTGCCTGGTGTTGATTTCTTATACCAAAACCAATAAACAGTTTGGAAACAAAGAAATATTATGATTAAGTTGAATCTCATGTGTTAATTAAGTATTAAATATTTAAAAAGATATTCTGCCAAGTATGTGAAGGATTTTTGCTCATTTTACACCTGACTGACCCTTGTTTAACTTCATGTCCTTGTTTCAGACGTCCAGTATGGGTCGCTAGATAGAAACAAAATGAGGCCAGCTAACGGACACGTGAACCATGGCAACCACTCTCCAGACTGGCAGAAGCCGCCCCCGTATACCCCCGACACCTCCTATGAAGTACAGAATGCTTTTAATAATGGCTTGGATGAACATGAGATGAACAGGAGAAATATGGAAAGATCAGGTATGTGATTATAACTGGCTAATTGTCTTTTAAAAAATAAAACACTTGACAGCACTACCTACAAAAGTAGTTTTTAAAGAAAAGAGGTGCAAATATTTTTAACAAATGTAGGTAGTGCTGTCAAGTGAAAAGATAGGTCCTCATATTAAATTACATAAGATTGGCCATATATAAAGTGATGTATTTCCAATGTAAAAAACATTTTGTAGAGTAAAATGTGTATTGATTGTATCCTATTTACTTTCAGTACCAATTACTTCATAGTTAAACCAGAGGCATATATGGTGATACATATTATAATATCTGTATTGTTCATTTGGCAGGTCATCCATATTACAACATGCAGAACATGCCAAACAAGTCCCCTCTCATCCATCCTGGCATGAATGGCATACAGAAGCCGGACGGCATGTCTGTGAGGAGCGGCCATGAAAGTGGATATTCAACGCCAGATCCAAATAAACCTAAAAAGGTCATATATGAAGTCATTGTATAACGTCCACACTGCTGTTGTTGTCAACCTCATCATCTTCATTAAGTGCCATCTACCATTGTGGTTATTGTTATCCACTTCATTGCCATGGTAACTGTATCATATCACCATGGTGACCGTTGTCGTGACTTTTGTTGCCTCGGCAATTGTTATTGTTACTACAGTGAATACTGTAAAATCTGATGACCAAGAGATCTTGAGATCTCTACAATCTCAGTGCCTGAAAGTTGTATGAAATGTGTCATACCTTTTCTGTATTCTTTCTACATACTACAGTCAGTTCAGTGTTGCATACAAGCTCATTGTGGTTACTATGGCTACTGTAACCAAAGACAACCAGCATGTCTGTGTATTCTTCACACTGTTGCATGTTGATGTTGTAAACAAAATGATTTTTTTTTCTGGAAAAATTCCAGATGTTTTTTGCCACTGAATATTTGACTGCTATTTTGACAGTTCCAAACTCTGACATTGTCAGATATTTTACTGTATATTCTCATCAAAAGGACAATTATTAAGAATAGTAACTGTATTAAGAAAGAAAATATGTACTATGACACATCAGTACAGATGGCTTAAGATGTACTGGAGTAAAAGCGTGCCACAGAATTCAGCACATATTTTTCTCTTCACAAATGAAAGTGATGGTCAACAGAGAGAGCTGAAAAATTAACAAAAGGAACATTATGTCCAGTTGAGGAGAGAGAGAGTTAAGGAAAACATATGATCAGTGACAAGTTAAAGTATTCCTGACTGACAGTTATATTCAACATTCTATATTTGAAACTCAACTATGTATTATAATGGCCTTAAAGGTGTACATGTTTGTACTATTAATGTTACTGCCAATATGATTTTGTAAGTGTATATAAATGTATATTTTGTTTGTATATTCTTATCATTGAAGGAGAGTAGGATGTATATTATAAGTTTTTAGTGTAGATTATTATTTGTGGTTTTACATTGCACATATTTTGAACTGAATGGTTGCTGTCACTATTTACTTGAAGGATTGTCTTCCAATTTCCTGCTTAAGCAGAATCGCTTTTTTTAAATGAATTACCTGGCCAATGTTTAATATGATAAAAATTATTTAACTTCAGAATAGTGGTATATTCTGACTTGTGGAAGCTGAGACTCTGAGTTTATACCAAGTGAAAATGTCTCTTATAGGTTTGACTTGAAATGATGGTGCTTTATATAGTGTCACTTACTTCCCCAAGGTTTTAAACCTGAGAATTTTTACTTGTTTATCATCAGTCCTTAGAGCTCTAGAGAAGATAGGACCAAATCATCCTGATATTTCTGACTGAAAAGTTGGCATTTGCTAGTGGCTTGACATAGATAAATGAACTTATGGTGCTATGAGGACTATTAAATGAGAAATTAAACCTAATTCATAGATATATTGCTTGGTCCTGAAAGATTTGACTTCTGTTCTTATTTGCTATTGTGACACAACCACAAAACAAAGTGTCTGGCTCGAAAAATTATTTGTTTTTATAAATTATGTGGCAGGCAGTGTTTTTAATGATCTCAATTCATTGTGAAGTCAGAAGTCACTGAGCACCATTTAAGACGGTCCCTTCTATAACTAACTGTAGAAACAAAACGAAGTCCCTTTACTGTTTGAGATTATAGTAGGTTAAAGGTAATGTTTTAGTGTTATCTTACCATATCTGACTTTTATACAATTGTATGGCTTGCAGCAAGCACTATTTTCGTAAATTTAGGTATGAGCCTATGATATATCTAATAACATTATTTTAGATGCTAAGTAACGATAAGGTTAATGGTGTCGTTTTATAAATGACAAAGTAACGATAAGGTTAAAGGTGTCGTTTTATAAGTGACAAAGGAGAACACTGTTGACCTTGGTGTAAGACGAAGGAAGACATTCCAATAATGTGACAGTAATGATCTGTCACTGAAGAAATGATTTGTTTTACAACAAGTCTAATGCTGCTGTAGAAGTAGAATATTTTGCTAGTTTAGAGCCGGCCATGACGTCACCTACCCCACCACGTGCACTCGTCTATATAGTTGTGAAGTGTTTAATACATCTTGTGTCAAGTCACCACGCGTTTGTATGAACAGAAAGTTTTATAAATAAACAAAGTGTTGTTATTATATGTACAGAAAAGTCTTCTGTGTTTCAGTTGATATGAATGAAAAATTGTCATGAATATTAAATGATCCACGCGGCGTTGGCTAGAATTTGAAAACGCAAAACAAAAATATCTGAAAATTTATTATGGAAAGCTTCGTGGATGATGACATTTTTGTCATACCTCGACTATCCTAACTATATTCTCATTTTTGAAAGTGATTTTTTGCACCATAGCTGGAGTTTAATAGCATAACGCTAGTTTTATCCGAAAAATTCCACCAGAGATTCTCAACGATCACTACAGTATGGGAAGGGGGTGACAATTATTATTATTTTTTTATACAGCACGTGATAGTCTCAAACAAAAAATAGAGATAAATGTTTTCACTTTCTCTCGCGCTCATATTTCTAAATATGGGACAAGATTCCACAAACATTAGTATTACTTAGAGTCCAGAAGTCAAGTTGACATTTGAGTTGGAAGTATTTCAAGCCAAAACGACGACCAAAGATAACTGATAAAATTGAAATTACAATCCTCCAAACATGTAACTTGGTATTTACGCAAACCAGCTGTAGTAAAGCAACGAAGGAGAGAAGCTGACACACCAAACCGAAGCCGTGTTTCCTCCTTGATCATGAATTCCGACTGTCTCACAGCAACTCCTGATGGATTTGAAACCATAGGAGGATGGTGCTTCATTTATCATACCATGGTGTATAATCCACCTCTGAAATGCACCCTTCCTTTTGAAACTAGATATAGTTGTTTTAATCGTCTCTCTTTGTGTTAGTCTTTTAGTCCTTATATTATGTTAATATTATTCTTTTTTCTGCTAGATTGTGTTATTATTTTGATGCATGGAATAAGCAGCTTGCCGTTAGATAGCCAAGAAAAATCAGTCGTTGTTCATATAAAAAGTAAAACATCAGCTGTCCACTTTTGTCCCATGTCTTGTGGTGCTCTGAGTTTGTATGTTGTATTTAAGCCTTATTTTCATATTCAACTTTCAAAGAAACTTCACGCAGATTTTTCTTGGCTTCAATATTGTTATGGTCTCTCTTCCACGCATGCTCCAATGTGATGTCACTGCCGTGAAAGTGTATTGGTAAGTAGAACGGTAGATTTTGAAGATGATATTTCGTTTTTTTATGATAAAAATCATTCATTTAAATCATGGCACACTAAGTTAAATCAAAGTACAGTTTTGTACATGAAATGAAACAAAGTACGTCTCCGCAGTAATCATAAGGCAAGGAAAATTACGCATGAAAACATAAAATAAAATGTGCTTAAAGTAAGGTTACAATAGTAACATTAATTATAAATGTTTTTTCTTTTCTTTTCCTCCAGGCGGCGACACTCCCACTCCATTACGACCAATCAAAACCAGGTAGAAACACCGCGTCTCCGCTAAAACAAGAAATACCTTTTGTTCCGAATAAGTCGACCACACTTCCAGCAAAACTTCACAAGCACAAGGTCTCGACATTGCCAAAGAAGGACCTGGCACATTTAAAGACGATGGGGCACGTGTACTGCGATGATTTCGCGCCATTTGCCCACAGCCCGCCTGGACACACGTGTGGCCTCCCCTGTTGCCGCGAGGAGATGAGGGTTCGTATAAAGAAGGACCCAAGAGGCATGCCGAAATGTTTTTCTGCTCCAATAACCAAGGACATACCCGAGCAGAACTTCACCCTGACGCGCCGTTTGAAACAAATCAAGAGTATGAATGGAAACTTCATCAAATTGCCTGGACCGACGGATGCCCGTCCTGGTCCCTCATTGCCCCCCACGAATTTGAACATAAATGACCCCAGTTCAAGCAGTGGACATCGCCATCATCCGAGTGGACAAGGTATTTCTAAGATAATCATTAAGCTTGACCACCCAACTGATGAAGGTGAAACGTCTGACTTTGAAGAGGACAAGACAAAGGAAAGGAGAACTCGGAGACACGTGTCCTTTGCCAACGAGTTGGAGGTCCACCTCAGACCCAGTAACCTTTCCTTCCAGCCGGCTCACTACGGCAGCTTTGGGTCCCTGCCCTCAAAGTATCAGGCCAGAATGCGCACCGGCCTCCCACTCGCCTTTAGACAGAAAGAACACATCTCTCAGTATGAAGAAAACGAAGATGTTTACGACATTGAACGTTTCCATAGTGACTGGAATATAAACAGTCCAGCAGATATGTGGTCGAAGGAGGCGAGCGCCGTGGAGGCGTGGGAGGTGGACAGGAATGAGCTCCTCAGGGACACACAGATCAGCCGAACTGCCAGTTTCCGCCGTGAGCTGCGCCAGGTCAACTCGTCTAACCGTCCCCTCCACCTACAGCAGTCCAGAATGAGTGGCCGAACCAAGGTGCAAGAGGTACATCCTATGAAGAAGGCAAGGGTTGTTCCCTTTGAGAAGCCAAATAACGGGGCAGCTGCTCCACCGAATGAGCAAAACGCGACTCCCTCTAAATTCTTTAGCAAAGGAAAGGGAGGCCTTTTTTCCAAAATTCCAATCAAAAAGAGGGAGCCATCGGGTCAATCAGCATGTCAAAATGAAGCAGAGGATAGCGCGAAATCCAACGTGCCGCACAGGAATAACAAAACGCAAAGCGAAGTGGAGGTGACATTGAGAGAAGAGAGCAAGAACACCATTAGTGCTGAAAAGGGAGCGTGTGTTGAAGATGAGCAGTGCTCTGGGGTTTATGAAAATGAAACCAACAAGTCACACAGTTTACCAGTCAGTGTTTTGAGACACGCTGTCAATGCCACCTATGGCGTCCAGCCTCCTCAAGATGATGACGTCATCCCATCCAAACCAGTCAATGTGGTAAGACCGAAGCATCTCCCAGTTGCTTCTACCGTGAAATGTCTGTCAGATACAGCGCCGGAGGTCCAGACTTCAGTTCAAGATGGCGGACACGTACCACGTTTACCAGCTGGAGCAACACCCACGCCCTTTCTGTTCAAACCAGCTCGTGCACAGCTCCCTATCGACCCATCAAGGAAGAGCTTGCAAACACACGAGGAGCAAAAGTCGCAGCAATCAATAGATCTGATCCATGAAGAAGAAAACAACAGTTCCATGGTGCCCGCTTTTCTACCACAGCAAACTTCCAAAGGTGAACAAGAAACGGGAAGACTGGCCCAAGATCAACTAGTGAGGAATAACCTCATTAAATCAGGCATTAAAACAGACATGGAATTGTCAGCCCCCAAACCTGAAAGCTCTGTGTATGAAAATTTTGGGATTGATCATTTGAATATCCATCAACAAACAGCCGAGATTGGATCTAAACGCTTATTAGCAGGTGCTCAACCAACGCCCATTTTAATGGAGGTGCCCCATAAAAGAGAACACGAACTTGTAGCAGCAGGTGCCCACCATTCAATTGCTCCTTTGCCTGATCTACCTTCACCCCCATCGCCCCCTCTCAGCCCTCCCACTTCACCTATCCTTAACCTACCTCTACCCCCTCCACCTCCAGGATTTTGTGACGTCATCCCCCCCTCACCCCCACCACGGCCTCCAATGCCACTCCAGCCAGTGTGTACACCACAACCAGCACCTCCTCCTCCTCCTCCTCTCCCTCCACCCCCACCTCCATTAGTCCCCGTGTTTAATTCATTTAATCGAAAACCTCCCGCTCAAGGCGAGGGTGCCCAGAGACAGAAGCCGCCCACACTGCTAAAAGGCCTCAGGCGGCCAGCAGATGCCACGCTTCACGACCAACTTCTCGTGGAACTTAAATCGTTTAAATCTCTGAGAAGAATCAGTCAATCAGCCACGACGGACAGTGAGGAAAGCGGTGACAAGAAACGAGAGTACAATGAAACACTTGACGGACCGGGGGCGGCACGTACAGCTCATGGTCCTGTCAATCATGCAGATTTCCCTCCCCCACCTCCTTTTCTAAATGAAAGACCTACTACAGAAGAACATTTGCAAAGAGATATGAGTCCAGACAACCTCTACTCCGACATTGACGACTACATGTACCACGTACACAGTGGGATATCTGGNTAACACGTGACGGACCGGGGGCGGCACGTACAGCTCATGGTGCTGTCAATCATGCAGATTTCCCTCCCTCACCTCCTTTTCTAAATGAAAGACCTACTACAGAAGAACATTTGCAAAGAGATATGAGTCCAGACAACCTCTACTCCGACATTGACGACTACATGTACCACGTACACAGTGGGATATCTGGAAGTACAACTAACGTGGCAAGCTCAACAGAGACACCAGATGATATATACGACCATCTTGAAGATATGGATTCAAGCAACGTGTACGGCATGTCTCAGGCTGCAAATGCATCTCAAGCAAAAGATAATAATGTCACAGAGTTTAGCACACATGACTCAACAAAGAGTGGACTTCACAACGGCTTTGATGGAAGAGAAAACACAGACATGGATGCAACAACTAGAATTTTGCACAACATGGGGCTGCTTCACTCTAAGGAAAATAACTTTCAGTTTGAGGATTTTGAAAACGAAAGTAAAACCAAGTCTGAGCGCCGAGGCAGCAGTCATTTTCCAGTCGAAGCTAACGTTCGTATACAAAGTGACTTTACTTCACCCAGCAAAGGGCAGCTTGTGGCACCAATACAGGAAGGTAGACATGGTGCTAACAAGGATGACAGGGAGCCACACGTAAGTGGCGCCCCTGGTGGTGATGGTCAGAACAAACCTGTTAATCACAGCGCTCCTGCTACAATGGTCACGCCCACTGATTCTCAACATTATTACTGTGCCTTGGATTTCGAGAGACAGAGCAGTAAAGAAGAGCCGATAATGGTGTAGAGAAGTTAGATAATTTGAAGATACTATGGTGTCGTTTTATTTATACGGATATTGCAATTATGCTGTTTGTAAAACGATTTTGTTACATGTATATACAATCACCAGTTATCATGTTGATGTTGTTTAATAGTAGTAATAATCTGGTTTTAAAAGCTGTTTCAATCTGTAATTCACAAGAAACACACAAGAAAACCAACACGTACACATATATAGGTGCATGTAGAGTGTAGCACATTTATGATTATCGGTGAAACGAATAAACTGAAGGACCGTGTAACAGAAAGACCACCCCCAATTTAGTTGCAATGGTTGGGGTTAGCCTGACCTAAGTGGGTCAAAATCTAGATCGATGCTTACCTGTGCCAATGGATATGAAGGGGGACTCTCTTTCATGTTACACCGGCACTTTTTTTTACATTAATGTACCTTTATGACAAATATCCAAAATAATTAGGCCTACATTCTTGCCTTTCAAATGCGGTATCTATATTATATTATATAATTGTTAAATTGATAAAATAATGAGGAGCAAGAAAAAGCCAATTGTGTTCTAACATCGTTATTTGCCCTGTGTCTTTTATACACGTTACTTGCACATAGTTTATACAGATTAAATATTGAATAATAAAAAAAAGAAAAGAAAACAAACCACCGATTGTATAATTTTAGCCCGTTTCTCATTTTTACTTGAAATCATTGGCCACGGGTTCACTTAAGAAACTTTCAGTTAAGAACGAAATAGAGCTTTTTTGTTTTGATAACCTATTTTGGTCTCCAAACATGATGTGTCTGAGTTCCTAGCCCTTTAACAGCTACAGCAAATGGCATTAGTTCATTGATTCCCGAGAACTACAGTTTTATCCGGAGATGACACACGATGTCCCACAATAATGATTTTTAAACAACTTTACAAAGTGGGACCTACTACATGTTATTAGACTTCACATGATACCTAAGCTAGTTGCATAATTTTTGGAACAAATTCGTTCCCTCTGCTTTATCCCACTTCAAACTATTTGTTATTTTTTCATCGCCATTGTTATCGCCTTTATAGTAGACATTCGGTAAAATGGAGTTCGAAATATCTACAGTCCATTGGCAAATTCCACTTTTCTGATAGAGCCATTAAATTTCCTTTTGAATCCCAGAGTTTAAACACCGTAAGTTGGTATTTGCTTTTATTTCAAATTGATGCCTATGTACCGTTTTCTTTCGGATGCATTTTTTTTACAAATAAAGTTGCTTGCTAAGAAAAAATTCCTACAGGTACTAGATATAAAGAATTAGCTGCAGTTTTATGCATTCATATAAGACCGTGAATCAAACGTCATGCGTTCATAGACTGTCGTGAAATTTCAGCCATGTGCACTTTGATATATATAAATATTTTCATAACAATTACAAATAAATGTTTCACCTTTGCAAAATATTAATAAAAAGAAAAAGAAATTTACAGAAATCTTCAATACAAAATTTGTTCATTTCTAGGAAGTAATACAGCACAAATCTGTGAAGAGTTTCTAAACACGTGATTTATAATAATAATAATAATAATGATAATAATAATAATAATAATAATGTTTATTGAGCACTAAACGTGTACATAATTTGACATTAGTGGGCTCACTAATCTACTGAAAATAGTATATACAAACATATATACAAAAAGTATAATTATGATATGTAACATGACATTCTAATACCAATCAGCATGTCTTATATGGTTGCTACTCTATACTTAATACAATAAAGTATTTGCACTTGACATTTTAATTTAAATATTATGTGTAATGTTAAGCTAAACCTATTATCAAAGTCGCTGCATTAAGGCTGGGTCACACTGCGCTTGCAACCTTTTTGCAACCACAAAATCTGACGGTCGCATGCGATCACTTTAGCCTAGGTCCCAACTACGTTTTGGACGCACGGTTTTTAGGTTCCTTGCGTCCGTCTAGGACATAGCTAAATCGCAGGGAGGGAATCAAGTAAAGCCTAGGTCCCAACCGAACGTATGGGCTACTACGTGTGGTCTACGGCCAAAAAATGGGGAAAACGTGGGAGTTCGTGCGTGAGGAGCACGTCTATCGTGCGACTTTTGGAGGACGCAAACAGCACGTAGAAACTTTTCGACATGATCAACAGCCGCTTCGTGCGGTCTAGCTCGGTCCTAGCCGGACACAAGGGACCAAAAAACCGTGCGTCGAAAACGTAGTTGGGACCTAGGCTTTTGCAAGCTAGTTAAAAAGCTATGGCCAATTTTGATCGGCAAGCAGTCGCAAACCGGTTGCAACAAGGTTGCAGTATGGTATCTGCAACCTCTAATAACCATCTTCAAGTTATAGGTTACCTGTCGCACACCGTTTGCCAAGCGAAGAACAACCTGTCTGCAACCTCTTGGTGCTTGAAAACCGGTTGCAGGACTGTAGCAATCGCTTGTCAACTGGTAGCAGAAAGGTCGCACAGAAAATATGTTGCCAACTTGTGACAGTAACTGCTTTCTCATAAATTCCCCTCTCAAAAGACAAAAAAAAAGTTCTAGTAAAACTGACCCTTTTCAAAAAGACGGGACTGTTATAATTATTGGCTGTGCTTACCTAAGAAACAGAATAAAAATCTAGGAAATACTGGGTAAGACCGTGTATTGGAAGACACTCCTTGTAAGGCGATTACAAACATTTGATGAAAGAACTTGAACTTGAAAATCAGGAAGTTTTCATTCCTTCCCTAAAAATAGAGTCAGCAATGTTTTGTGTACTTTTGACAAGACTACACCCTCTCCAAACGAAATTTGCATACGTTTTAATCTTCATTAATCTTATAATACTCTTTCATATTTTCTTGTTCAAGTACTTGGTCTCTTTGAGGTTGCAAGGCCTGTGCAGTTACGGACACACTGAACAAAAAAACCTCTTTGGGACTTGCAACCGTCTCCGGTTGCAAAAAGGTCGGCGACCGGCTGCAACAACTCGCAAAGTGGTTTCCAAATGAACGCTGGGTTGATATCCGGTTGCGCCGGTTTTCGGGGCAGCACCGATAACCTCTTGGCGACCGAAAACCTACTTGTGGTATCCAACCGGTTGCTAACAGATCGCCGACTGCTTCGCAACTAATCTGCAACCGAATGTGTGTTTTTCTCTTTGTCTTATTAACACCAGGCGTTTGCCTCTTACAATACAACCTAATTAAATCGTGACAGGTCGTGTGAATCGTTTACTTTTTACACTGTCATCCTTGTAGTGAGGATATCAAACACTGGAACGAAGTTAAATTGTTTGTTTTGAAACTGGTTTTATTTAAGATTATTTAACGATCTGTTCAATTATTTGTGGATGATTTTGATGGTCGAAATTATGATATTGAATATCAATTATACATATTTGATTAAATTGTTTTTATTTTCCGTTTTCTCTGCATTCGTGTATTTGTTTTATCGTTTACTTTGATAATAGGGCTTCGCAAATTTTAAATGACATACAGTGATATATAATTTATGTTTTCGGCATTTTACCTATGGTTTTCGTAAAATGATAAAATAAATAAGCTTAGCGTCAAAAACATTGCTGTTAGCTTCCAATTTTTTTTGGTCTAGTAAGTTTGAAATACGTGGTATATTAAACCTTGGCAATTACTATAAAATCTTGCCAACAAGTGCAATTATGCCAACAAATGCAATTATGTTTTTTTTTTTTTCTAAAATATTATTATTTATGATCTTGATATTTAGAAGGCATACATGACAAGTTATGAAAAAAATTCTTTGCCCAAATAGACCACCATCCTACGCTTACTTTATTGCAGTCGCTTGCAACCTTCCTGCGACATATTTTCGAATGCCTGCGATCGGTAAAAAACCTGTTAGCGACCAAGAGACTAAAGACCGTAAGTCGACCATGCAGTTACAACTTCAACCTTCTAGCGACCTGCTGCCGACTTCTTGCGACTGGTAAAAAACTTGTAAGCGACCAGTCGACTAAATACTATCAATCGACCGTGCAGTTGCAAATGGTAGGCCCTATGCTACTGGTTGTAGCAACCTACTGACAACCAAGAAGAGACCTGTTAGCAACCTTAAGGATACCAATATCTTTCATCTTTAGTTGCACCGGTTGTCGGTGCACAAAATATATCCGTCAATCCTCTACGATCGCAGGCGACCTGTTAGCAACCTTATGCGACCACTTAAAAACCTATGGCAACCTCCTTGCGACTGAGGTTGCCAAAAGGTTGCAAGCACAGTGTGACTGCAGCTTTAGAATCTGCGCTCAAATAAAGTTTTCCCACAAACTAAATACGTACCAGGCCGGGTTCTATCGGACATGAAGGCCCTTAATTCAGTTCACATGTTTTCTAATATACTTTTATATTAAAACATAAAAACTATCTTCTACTTCATCATCATAATCGATCCATTCATGGTGATACTCATCACTGTCACACACTTTGTATTAAAGGTTGCATGCCATGTGGCTGCTGAAACAGTTGGCATAATTACGCTCATGATGTTTCACTTCCATCAATATTTCAACTTCATGTCGTCGTTTCTCATTTAAAATTGTTTGGCATTTTTCACCGACACTTTACTTTAGTATTTTCCAGCAGTCGGGGGTACTTTTCAAAAATAATTACCGACCTATTTCCAAGTTACATGCCCGTAAGAGTTGACAATGGCTTCTGTTAGGTCACTGAGGCGGTCTACTTTGCCCAGCTCATTATCAGACATGTTAATCTTCATTCCAGTCTGCTCTGACACTGTACTGAGAGACTGTATCAATGCTATCAGTGGACGGGTGATACCGTGGTACCGACCCAGGTTATTGCTTCTTAATGAAAACGATTTCAATTTTGTGGTATGTTTCACACCTTGGCTCAGTTCAGACACGGCTTCACAGACATCCTGACATCTGTCATCTTTTGTGGTATCACCACGACATGTACACCTGCTGGCCCCACACCTGGATGTCATATCACTGCGAGATCTGAGGTCACTGCTATCAAAGATGTCACTGAGCACATCAGACAGTACTTGCTCCAGCTTCAGGGATTCCAATCCTGGCACATGATGAAGGTTCCTGGCCAGAATTTTTAAAGTCTCAGCACCTAGGCGGGTATAAGTAATACTAAAATCAGTCAAACCATGATTGGCAATAGGCATTTCCACTAGAGCAGATGGGAGCTCTTTTGGCCTTTTGCATACTGATACATTAATTGTTTTTAAGGACTGCGTCTGTCCCAGTTTCATAATGTCTTGACTATTTACCATTCCATGAACTTTAAGATGCACCAGTTTTTCAGGTTTTGGTATTGATGATAAAATTCCATAACAGCGAATTTGTATCGAAATTGTGTCAAGGTTAAGAGCTTTTGATAAAACAGAATTTAAGACAGATCTGCACTCGTCGTAATCTGTCTCTATACACCAAACGATAACTAATAGTTTCTCTAACGTGTCACAAGAATTTAGCACAGATAATACATTGTGACTTGTTTTTCCTATGGGAAACCTAACGTCGTTCATGACAGTTCTCACATCTTTGAATATACCTGAGTACTGCTGAACACGTTTTGATGCCCTCTCTACACTTTTCAACAAGATTTGACTAAATCTGTGATCAGAGTGCTCAAATGATGCAGGTATGTTGAGTGCCGTGTGCCAGGACATAAGCTCAGGGGGCATCACTGTTTTCTGGGTACAGTGTGCATACCAGTGTTCTAGGAGGATATCATTGCACCACTCACTGTACCTCCTGTCATAGTCCCATGCATGTGCTTGAAAACTTTGCATCCGTGATATATCTTCGCCTTTCTTGGATTCAACCTGCAGAGCTTTAGCTCTCTCCAGCACTTTGGTGGCCGCGCTATTACTTAAACCACAGACGAAGCGCAAAACATAGTCCATGTTGTAGAGTTCATCAATAGTGTGTAAGCTGTCCAGAAATTGATCTAAAACATGGCCATTTCCATCTAAGGTATTATTCTCCTTCAGGTATCGTGCAGCAAAAAATTCCTGGATGGTTTTATGAGGGAAAGTAATTGCTTGTTTAACATCGAACTTGTAGTGCACCTTAGTCTTGTTGAGGAGGCCTAAACTGTACATCTCGCCGATATCTGGAATTGATTGCAGATCATTTTCATCAAATATGAGACCTCCCTCTGGTTTCAGCAGTCCATAGTAAGCAAGCTTACCGAGACAGTTAATGGTGTCGTCAATATTTTTATAATATTTGTCTGTTTCATCCTGAGTCTTGGTGTTATATTTCCGTCTTATAAGCAGCTGTATTAGCTTCTTGTATAACAGTGTGTATGAAGCTGGGAGGGATTCTGTCCTGACAACACTTTTGCGATCCTCTAGCCACAAAAGGCAAATGAAAAGTAAAAGTATCGGGATCTTCACTAAGGACATCAGTTTCTTTTGCTTTAAGTAGTCTATCAGACGTTCCCCTGTTGACCCCAACATCCAAACAAGGAAGTTATCGTGTGACTTTGGCTCATCAAAGAATTTAGCAATATATTCTGCTATGTTGTCCTCTGTCAACCCAGTGATGTCATAAACACTGTCCGTATTTCGTGGGTTCATCAATTCTTCTGCCTTCCATGGACGTGTTGTGATGATAGTGCACACGTCTTGGTATCGTCTGCAATGAATGATGTCTGTGATTTCCTTATGATTCTTAGAATCAAATTCATCATAACCATCAAAGACCAATAGCACATGGTCACCGTCATTATCCAGAGCATCCATGATTTCCTTTATCTCGTTCTCAGAGCAAGACAATTGCATTTCAAGTGCTTCCTTTAGAGTTTTACCAGGCTGGATGCTGCGCAGATTTAAGATTAAAAGGTGTTTATATTTTGAAAGTACCCCATCACTTTTTTTACCCAGTGTCGCATTTGCCCAGTCTATTGCCATCTTCTGTGTAAATGTGGTTTTGCCGATACCTGCTTTTCCTCTCACCAATATTCTCTTTGGTGTAATACCCTGTCTGGTATTTTCAAATATTGAGGTATAAGTTGGGACTGGCTTGGAGCTAGTGCCTGTGGGTTTCTTTTCCTCTTGTACCCACTCCAAGTTCACATAGACCTCGTCCATGTGCATGGTGTCGTTGGAGTCCCAAGGAAGACGCTGTATCTGGCTCATGTGGCGGGTGTAAAAAGCCGCTAATGGACTTTTTCTTGACTGTGTTGGACTCATAGCAGGTGCCTGGTAAATAGAGGATATATCTTAGATTTGTTAAACCTGATATCACCAGGCTTACCCAACTACCAAACTCAGCACCAACTGATCCCAAATTCACCTGTAGATTGGACCACCATGCCCGTTTTCAAGGTGTGCGTCAGCATCATACCCCAAATTTTGAGTGGTGATACGATACTTTCCAACCCTGCTAAGTCTCATCACTATCACATTGCGTGCAAGACATGCGCAAGAACGGTGTCTGATACCTCGAAGCGCACACTGACGCTCACCTTGAAAATGGGTAGTTTGGTCCGATCTACCGATGAATTCAGAATCATTCCGAGTCTGGTAGTTGGGTAGGCCTGCTTACGGACTGAAACGGAACGTGTAACTGGAGGTGGGAATCATATCTTTCATTTGCACCTTGTACTTACAGACTTGACATTTAATATGGGATATTTCAGTTTTATATGTATGTCTAGGTAAAAATGCGTTTTTTTTTCAAAATGCTCAGATCTCACATAAGATATCTGACTGAAGAAGTATGAAGTCAGGAGGGTCGCTACCAATTAACTGACTACCAAGTCTTTTGCACTGCTGCATTGTGTAATATGCGGTGATATAATTGGGTAGTGCTCCTTTTGACTGGTCAAAGCTTGGCTTTAATGAAGCATGGCTCTGTCAAAAAAGTATCCATATGTCGGCAACTACTGTATCGAAGAATTTAAAATTTTGCATGCAAGCGGTTGGGTTTTCAGTGCGTAAAATGAGTTGAGCAGTGTATAATGAAATTGTTAAACTTAGCCAGAATGGCGCGGAAAAGACAGACATTGCCACCCAGATTATTGTGTCAAACGGAATGGTCTGCAGAGTTTTATAGAGTTATGACCAGACTGATGCACCTACACAGAGACCACGCCCAATGTATCGACATCTTACCACCAGGGTACAGGACTCACTCTCCTTCAGGATATGCTGCTGCAATTGAACCAAAACCACCCAGTCTGTTTTGAATGAAGGGCAAATTGTAACCAAAACGCGTTTTTCTAGGCTCTTAGCGAACACCAAAATGGTTTCGGGAGGTTAGAATATCAGCCGACCTTTGAGAAAGCCACTGTTATAAGAAAAACAGCGTAGTCTGTTTCTCTAATGAATTGGGGACCATGACCGTTTCTGGGTAGAACACTGAAACTGCGTGGCTTTTTTTATTGAGGTCAGATTTCACCCGTACCGCTAAACTGGTCATAACAGAGTTTACAGACATCCTGAAGAGGCATGCGACAAGGCGTGTGCCACTCCTTAAGTGACTAGGCTCATTGACAGCGTCACTATTTGGATTGGATACCACATTGGTGCCAAAACACTAATGGAAGTCATCAATGAAAACCTGAACAAGATCAAGGCAAGAGACACTCTGTGAACCACTTGACCATCATTTGATAAGAGCGCTGAAGTTAGTGTCTAGTTTCTAGTTTCCAGTTTCGTTTTTCAAAAACGAACCTGGCAACCAGAAACTAGTGTCGTTTTTCAAAAACGAACCTGGCAACCAGAAACTAGTGTCGTTTCTCAAAAACGATTCTGGCATCCAGAAACTAGTGTCGTTTTTCGAAAAACGATTCTGGCAACCAGAAACTAGTGTCGTTTTTCAAAAACGATTCTGAGAAGCCAGAATCGTTTTTGCGGAGAGAAACAAGGGTGGGCAGAGGGAGAGGCAACCAGCGGTTAGCGTGTACCGCGATTAGGTAACCCTCACCACGAAAGCCGGGCAGGGTTTTACCGTCTCTCCTCGACGTGCGCTGAGACCGAGACGGTCGCCGATTATTGCCTACGGGGTACGGGCAACCCTCATCGCAGAAGCTTGACAGGGTGTTTACAGTGTTACGGTCTTTCCTCGCCGCGCTGGGAGGCCGAGTTGACCGCCGCTACCAGTCACAGGCAGCCTGCACAGTGGAAGCCGGGAATGGAGTTTAAGTGGGGGTGGGGGTGGGGTAATAAGGGTGAGTTGAAGAGCGGGAAGGCCCCACGGGGCCTCCATTTGTAGTTTGAATTGTAATTTTTAATTTTATTGAATTTTTCAAAAACGACTCTGATGCCCTGAGACCAGTGTCGTTTTTTGAAAAACGATTCTGGCAACCAGAAACCAGTGTCGTTTTTCGAAAAACGACTCTGGTAACCAGAAACCAGTGTCGTTTTTCAAAAACGATTCTGAGAAGCCAGAAAAACGACACTAGTTACTGGTTGCCAGGTTGTTTTTGAAAAACGACACTAGTTTCTGGTTGCCAGGTTCGTTTTTGAAAAACGAAACTGGAAACTAGAAACTAGACACTAACTTCAGCGCTCTCNGATAGAAAAAACGCCCTTAAAGCTCGCATCAAGAACCACCACAGTAGTTTCCATTTTAAAAGAACACATACGCGACACAAGACAAAGACGGATTGTCGATAAGAAGCTCATAAAAATATTAAACACTTTAAAAAAGGACTTTATAGAGACAATGAATATCTCAACGGATATTAGTCTTGTTTAATTATTACGTAATCTTCAACACGTTAACCTTTGTCACGCACTTCTAACTTCGTGTCCCTTTTACATGCATCCCTGTAGTTTGCTTGTTTATTCTTGTTTTGGTACCTGAAGAAGGTTCACAAGCCAAAAGCTCGGGCATTTTTTTTATCTTTCAGACCTAACCTTTAAATTAAGATGCGTTATCAATATATATATAGTCCTATATATCTTTTTCCGTAAAGATACGTAAAATGTGGTGGAATGAAAATCTGCAGTTTTATTTATCAGACATAACAGTTAATTATCATAAAACAGGTTTGTTATCTGATTTTGGTCCGAGGATCAACTGGTTGTGAATTCGGCCAGAGACAATCAGAGAGAGAGAAAGAGAGAGAGAGAGAGGATTTGCCGGAGAGAGAGAGAGAGAGAGAGTCACAGATGGAGTTTTCACTAGATATTCACAGATATGAATAAAATGTAAGGATGTCTTTCATAATTTTTTAAAAAAAGATTCCTGTTTAGACTAGCTTTTTCAGTGAGATACGAATAAAGTTTTTAATTAATATGTGTGATTTGTGATTTGATGGTTTTATTTTTTGTGGCCGTGAACTATGATCACTACCCCCCCCCCCC